AATTTGCAGAAGAGGAAACTCTGAAAGGCCAACAAGTGTATGAAGAGACATTAATAATCAGAGACATACAATTTAGAAAAATAATGTACCAATATACTATCATTAGACAAAGAAAAACTTGAGAGCTGAATTATTGAATATTGGTGGTTGGGTCGGGCTAAGTACCAGTGTACCTGCTAGTGAAGGTATAGACAGGCGCAGCTTTTAAATGAGCAGTCAGGAAGCACTTAGTTAAATTAAATGTCTACCTATGATCTAGCAAGTCTTTTTGGGGGTAAATATGCCCAAATAAAATTTCGAGTCCATTGGGGGTCATGTATGAGGATGTTTTTTGTACTAATGTTTGGGGAGGTGATGTATCAGTCCGGGTCCAATCAGGAGAGAGAAATCACACAATAATTTGAGCAGGAAAATTGAATACAAAGAATGATTGGTTTTGACAGGGTATTGGAGTAATATGTTATTGGTTAGTGAGAAGTAAAGAGAACGCTAAAGAATACAGGAGTCGCAGGTATAAGGAGTAGCCATGCCCCCTGCCCTGAAATCGGGTGCCCAACGAACGGTCTCGTCCTCTTCCAGGGTTACGGTCTAGACCTTGTTGGAGAGGGCTTGTCTGTGCCTCATTGCATGGCAGAGAAGTCACTGGGGTGCCTCGACAGTATAACTGGCTGGAAATCCATCCTCTAGTGTTTGCCAGAAATTCACCCTCTGGGGTGCTGGGCAAAGCTGTTGGTGGGGAGGGGGTCACTGCCAATGCTCTGACGCAGAACTGCATGGAGCGGGGTACTAGTGGGACCTGCTGGGGGCCGGAGGCACACTGCTGCAGAACTGCCTGATTGCAGCAGGGGGGACAGTCCTGGGGAAAACTGGTGGCCTCAGGGTGCTGTGGACTGCACGGAAGGTGCCCCGCACTTGAGACCAGCTTGCACTCAGACCCCTGATGAGAGAGCAGAGCCAGGAAAGATTTATTTTGGCTGCGTTGGGTCTTTGTTTCTGCACACGGGCTTTCTCTAGTTGCGACGAGTGGGGGCTATTCTTCCTTGTGGTGCACGGGCTTCTCACTGCCGTGGCTTCTCTTATTGCGGAGCACGTACTCTAGGCGTGCGGGCTTCAGTAGTTGTGGCACGTGGGCTCAGTAGTTGTGGCGCACGGGCTTAGTTGTTCTGCGGCATGTGGGATCTTCCCGGACCAGGGCTGGAACCCGTGTCCCCTGCCTTGGCAGGGGGATTCTTAACCACTGCGCCACCAGGGAAGTCCTCCTGAAATGTTTCTCCATCTTCCTGCCTCTACTGAGGAAGCTTACCATTGTGTCAGCTGACAAAAGAAAAACATTAAAAGGGGCCATATTCATATTTGCAGGGCAGGCAATACGCTGATAACAGGCACGGGTCAGGAGTGGAAGGTAATCTGAGTTATCACGGGGGGGGGGAGAAGATTAAAAGCCACCCTATAAAGCCGAGAGATGGAGAGGAACTAACTTGTTTGCTATGTGGAGGATGGAAATAAAAGTAAATATAAACTAAAAAAGGAAAGCTTTTACAGATAATTATGACAGTGTACCAAGAACTGAAGGGTATGATTAAATTAACTCTTGCCCCATGAGTCTAAAATTTTTTAAAAAACACTATTTTTTTTTTTTTACCATGACAGATGTTCAGACAATATATTCTTAGTGTTCAACAAATACTTGAGTTACCTAGTCTTTTGGGGTGAGGGACATCTTTTCATTAGTTTGAGGACTAAAGGAAATATTACCAAAGCAGTGGTATAGGCTATGATGAAAACAAAACAAAAAAAAAGAAATTAAAAAATATAAATAATTAAAAAACTGTTGTAGATATAAAACTTTTAGAATACAAAAGATTTGTTTAAAAGGGGGAAAAGCCTAAAAAAAGATGATTTTCTTTGAGTCACAAGGCATGCTGATTCACCTATATATAACTGAAGTAACAAAACAGTGAGGTCATGGAAACTCAGTAAACTGTCACAAGGTAGCTGGTTAAAATAAGCCTTCTGTGACCAAAATAGTTTACAATCTAGTGTTCTAACAGTTTATTGTAGCAAATACTTTAACAAATGTACTTTCCTATAACAAATATTTATAGTATCAGAATTGTCAGTCAACAGGGCTTGGCACTATTAAAACAAACCTTTCAATATTACAGGAAAGTTCTTTGCTATTCTCAGTAAACAGTCTCAAACAGAAACTCAACTTTATGCCGACAGGACACAGAACAAGTCTACATTTAACGTGAATTTTATGATTTGTTGCCTGTGAACATTCACTAAGCTTTTCCTCGAGTCTAACCAGATGGAATATCTAGTAGAACACTTTGTCTTTTCAAAGTTCCCCTTCCACAGTCTTCCAATTCTTTTCAAGCTTCTCATTATCCTGCTAATTAGGTTTTGTAGCCTTTGGCTTCAGTTACATTTTCTAGTCAAGGTTGAATTTAAAAATCTGGGGCAACTCTGAAGGAGAAATGTTATCAGCGGGCTGTGATTTCTCTGGTGGGTGCTAGGAGCCCATCACTTACCATGACTGTGAGGTATGATTCTGGAATTATACATTTTAGCCTGATGGGCACTGGAGAAATAGGTTACCACACCAAGGCTAAGTGTTTTGAAGTCAAGCATTCTGTTCCTGTTTCTTTGTGTTCCCCGCATGAAACGCAGATGTATGATAAATGCCATGTACGTATTGAAATGGATTCTCCTGCTCTTTTGAATTCAGCAGCAAAACCAAAGAGAACATAAATAGCAAGTAAATAATGTTACAGATTATGGCCCAGATCCACACCTTGGGCTTTATGTTTTTCGGGTCCATGCTGCTGTTGTCTGAAATATTTCTGTATGCAGAGTGATGTTTTCCTCTGGGGCTCTAGAGACTCCTTGGCTAAAGCTCAGAGCACACAATTTTATTTTAACTGCATAACCGATCTTACAGGAATCCTATGTCATCAATTCCAAGTTGGTGAGCAAATGGTTATCCACCAGGGCCAAATAATGAGTGGTAATATGCCAATAATATCCATCTCCCAGCTTAGGAAAGAAAATTCTGAAATTACTCACTGCAGTATGAATTTGATAAGAGATGCCATTTACAGAACACTCTATGACATAAATCACAGAAAGATCCTTTTTGACCCACCTCCTAGAGAAATGGAAATAAAAACAAAAATAAACAAATGGGACCTAATGAAACTTAAAAGCTTTTGCACAACAAAGGAAACTATAAATAAAACGAAAAGACAACCCTCAGAATGGGAGAAAATATTTGCAAATGAAGCAACTGAAAAAAGATTAATTTCCAAAATTTACAAGCAGCTCATTCAGCTCAATATCAAAAAAACAAACAACCCAATCCAAAAATGGGGAGAAGACCTAAATAGACATTTCTCCAAAGAAGATATACAGATGGCCAACAAACACATGAAAGGATGCTCAACATCACTAATCATTAGAGAAATGCAAATCAAAACTACAATGAACTATCACCTCCCACGGGTCAGAATGGTCATCATCAAAAAATCTACAAACAATAAATGCTGGAGACAGTGTGGAGAAAAGGGAACCCTCTTGCACTGTTGGTGGGAATGTAAATTGATACAGCCACTATGGAGAACAGTATGGAGGTTCCTTAAAAAAATTAAAAATAGAACTACCATACGACCCAGCAATTCCACTACTGGGCATATACCCTGAGAAAACCGTAATTCAGAAAGAGTCATGTACCAAAATGTTTACTGAAGCTCTATTTACAATAGCCAGGACATGGAAGCAACCTAAGCGTCCATCAACAGATGAATGGATAAAGAAGATGTGGCACATATATAAATGGAATATTGCTCAGCCACAGAAAGAAATGAGATTGAGTTATTTGTAGTGAGGTGGATGGACCTAGACTGTGTCATACAGAGTGAAGTAAGTCAGAAAGAGAAAAGCAAATACCGTATGCTAACACATATATATGGAATCTAAAAGAAAAGGTTCTGAAGAACCTAGGGGCAGGACAGGAATAAAGTTGCAGACATAGAGAATGGACTTGAAGACATGGGGAGGGGGAAAGGTAAGCTGGAACGAAGTGAGAGAGTGGCATGGACATATATACTCTACCAAATATAAAATAGATAGCTAGTGGGAAGCAGCCACATAGCACAGGGAGATCAGCTGGGTGCTTTGTGACCACCTAGAGGGCTGGGATAGGGAGGGTGGGAGGGAGACTCAAGAGGGAGGAGATATGGGGATGTATGTAAGTGTATAGCTGATTCACTTTGTTATAAAGCAGAAACTAACGCACGATTGTAAAGCAATTATACTCCAATAAAGATGTTAAAAAAAAAAAAGAGATGCCATTTAACTTAGCCTTTGCTAGAGCTGTAAGGAAAACTCATCTGGCAAAGGGTCCTTCTACATAGTTTTCCTATTAAAGTTTAGATTTCTCTTTTTTGTTTATTTGGGTTTTTTTTGGCCACACCGCACAGCATGTGGGATCTTAGTTCCCTGACCAGGGATCAAACCCGCGCCCCCTGCAGTGGAAGCACGGAGTCTTAACCACTGGACCCCCAGGAAGTCCCAACATACAAATATTTGAGGGTAGTTAATATATTAAGTAATTAGGCATAGTAACTGTAAGGTCGGATCTTAACAAACGGCACCGCGGGGCGAGGTTCACTGGTCCGAGAGGAAGGGGCCAGAGAAGTCGCACCCGGGCGAGGGTTGGGCAAGATTTTATAGGGGAAGAAGGGAAAGGGGTGTGGTGAATCTGGGAGGGCGCAGGGTATTCCTTATTTGATGGTCTTTTCGGGTATCCTGGGGGACCGTTAGTCCCGCCCCTCGAAAGGCGGGAAGGCTGGGCCAGGTGCAAAGTCCCCAGGTCAGTTCCTGGAACTGGGTGGTCCGGAAAGTCTCCAGGGCAGTTTCTGGAACTGGGTGGTCTGGAGAATTTCGGTCTGATGCAAACTGTGAATCTGATTGTGTTCCCCTGCCTCGGGCCAGTTGACCTTACAGTAACTTGGCTTTCAGTTTATGTGATTTGCCAGAAACAATTAACCAGATCATTCAGGAGTGGAAACTGGGGTAGTAAGTTTCCATGGGCGGGTGTGGTCAGTGGCGCTTGAGGGGGAATCAGGAAAGGTCCGAGTCTGGGAGGTCCCAGATTTTACAATAAGCTTCGTTGAGTATCTCAGAAAGATATTGGACAACTAAAGCTCACCAAAAGTTGTGGGCATGGAAAGCAAGGGAAACGGGAAAATACATCTCCAAAAGGTGAGTAGAATGCTGATCATTAACTTGGCTTATGTCATAAGTTTTCTGAAATCTGGCTCCATCTCTGTTTTGCTTAATTGTACTGAGGTCAGTGTGTGTACATTTCAGGTACAATAGAGGGTCTGAACATTCTACCTTTAACTAAATATTCTTTTAATGCCTACATATTAAACAAAGTTTCCTACTCAGTATACCTGGGTATATACATATATAAAACTTAAGAGGAGAAATGTGATGGGTGTGCACTTATTATCTGTCTCCGTTGTACTCAGGCTATTTTTTTTTAAATTGGAGGATAGTTGATTTACAATGTTGTGTTCGTTTCAGCGGTACAGCAAAGCGACTCAGTTATACATAGGTGATTGTATATCTATTCTTTTTCAGATTCTTTTCCCTTATAGGTTATTACGAAATACGGAGTAGAGTTCCCTGCGCTGTGTCCTTGTTGGTTATGTATTTTATATATAGTAGTGGTACACAGGCTGTTTCTGAGACACGAGGAGATGGTCTCATAATGGTCTTATAATGACGGGGCTCATAAATTCTGACACTACAAACAGTGTTTCGACATTAAGTAATCCATCTTGAGTAAACGAAATGAAAGAAAACAGAAAGCCTAGTTGCTGCATAAGGGGCGAAGTTTGTAAAACAACGTAGGTAAAACGGTAAGTTAGCAAAACAGCCAGTGAGTGTAGGTAAGTGGAAGGGTAACCTACTTCACTAATGTGCTGAGCTACTGGGATAACAGAATACCTAAGACAAGGAGCACACATTTGCCATGGCATCAATGATCTTTTCATTGAGGAAAGCGGTTTCACTTCCATACAGCAGGTGGCAGCATTGTGGGCCACAACCCCTGCTCAGCCATGGTTGGCTGACTTTGATGAATCCGACAAGGCAGAAATGCTTGTTTGCATTACAAGAGACTGTAGCGTTTTAGAATTTCATTCGGAAGAGAAAGACCACACTTATTGCTTTACAATCATTTAACATTTTCAATATGTCCTTAGAGCAGGCGAATAAGGTAGCTGTGTTACAAGCTCCTGGGTGGCTATTTCAAAATCAGAGATGAGATTTTGTTAAATTCTTGCCCTCAGTGAAAATAGATCTGCTTTTAATTATATTTACAAAATAATATTAGTGGCTACATCTTGGTGAGGTTACAGTCTGAAAATAATCATTGTGTTGCTAAAGCCAGACTATTAGTTTTCAGCTGGAGAATTTATTCTTTTACATATTTTATTTTCTTGATTCTGTTCATATTTTGAAGAATGCCTTCTTTAACAATAATAACTGGCAAGTTTCTACCATTTGCTGAGTTTTGTTCAGAACATTTAAATTCTTAGATTATGAGCTCCTCGAGAGTAGCCATTGTGTCTTAATTATGGTCTATTATCAACACTTTTTTTTTCTTTTTCTTTTTGGGCTGCACCATGATGTGCCATGCAGGATCTTAGTTCCCCGACCAGGGATCGAACCTGTGCCCCCCTGCAGTGGAATTGCGGAGTCTTAACCACTGAACCACCAGGGAAGTCCCTGTGGTGTATTAATTATCAATACAGATAGAATACATGTAAAAATAATGATACTTAATATTTATTGAGGGCCTACTCTGTGCCAGTCACTGTTCCAAATGCTTTACATGTATTAATACATTTAATTCTCATCACTAAGGCTCTAAGGAAGATACTAATATTATCTCTGTTTTATAGATGAGGAAAGGAGGCACAGAGAGATGGCACTAGAGGCACTAGAGAATTTCCGGGATATGATAATCTTGGTTATTTTCTGGTTTCCGAATTTTTTTTGGTTTGGTATCCCTCAGAATGCTAAACTTGTGAGTTCCTTAAAAGTTGATGCAAAACAACGTTTCATATATTTTATAAATTGTATTTTGCCATGTATGGAAATGCTGTGTGATTCCACTTATAGGAGGTCCCTAGAGTAGTGAAATTCATGGAAATAGGAAGTAGAATGGTGGTTACCAGGCCCTGGGGAAAAGGAGAAATGAGGACTTCTTTAATGGATATAGGATTTTACTTTTGAGAGATGAAAAGATTTCTGGAGATCTGTCAACACATCAGTGTGAATATACTTAACACTACTGAACTGTACACTCAAAAATTGTTAAGATGGTAAATTTTGTGTTATGTTTTTATCATAATTAAAATGAAAAAAAAAAGAAACTTGTCCAAGAGGGACAAACTAAACATCATATTTTGTCATTATGTAGTAGATTGTAGTTAATTAAAATTTCATTTGAGGCTCTTAACACATTAAAATCATATTTGTTGGACCAGGAAACAAAGTAGCATGCTTGCTTCTCTTCTTTTAATGTTCCTAACCATGAACTCTTAAAGAAAATCCATTTGAAATGCCAAAGCCCTTGATAAGGAGCTTTAATGGTATGCAAACGTTTTTGTGTGTGTAGGTGGTAAAAAACACAACACAATTTACCGTTTTAACCATTTTTAAGTGGATATTCAGTTCTGTTGTGTGTATTCACATTGTAGTGCAACAGATATGTACAACCTTTTCATCTTGCAACACTGAAAGTCTATACCCACTAAACCCTAATTTGTTACCCCCGACCCCAGCCTTTTCTGCTTTCTGTTTCTATGACTTTGACGATTTTAGATGCTTCATATGCAAGCAATTGTACAGGATTTGTCCTTTTGTGACTGGTTTATTTTGCTTGGCATAATGTCCTTGAAGTTCATTCATGTTAATGCATGTGACAGGATTTTTCTTCTTGTTTAAGGCTGCGTAACATTCCATTGTACGTATATACCACATTTTCTTTATCCATTCATCTGTTGATCAACATTTGGGTCGCTTCCATCTCTTGGCTATTGTGAATGATACTGAGAAGAACTTGGGTGTGTAGATATCTCTTCAAGATCCTGCTCTGAATTCTTTTGGATACATCCCCAAAAGTGGGATTGCTGGATCATGTGGTAATTTTATTTTTAAGTTTTTGAGAGACCTCATACTGTTTTCCATAATGGTTGAACCATTTTATATTCTCACCAACAAGATTTCCAATTTTTTCACATCTTTGACAACACTCGTTATTTTCTGTTCTTTTGATAGTGACCATCCTAATGGGTGTGAGGTGATATCTCGTTGTGGTTTTGATTTGTATTTCTCTTGTGATTAGTGATGTTGAACAGTTTTATATGGTTATTCATATATCTCCTTTGGAGAATTGTCTACTCAAATCCTTTGACCATTAAATTGGGTTACTTATTTTCTTGTTGTTGAGTTGTAGAAATTCCTTATAGCCTCTGGATATTAACTCCATCAGATACATGATTTGCAAATATTTTCTTCCGTTCCTTAGGCTGCCTTTTCACTCTGTTGATTGTTTCCTTTGATGTGCAGAAGTTTCCAGGTTTGATGTAATACTATTTGTCTCTTTTAGCTTTTGTTGCCTGTGCTTTTGGTGTCATATCCAAGAAACCATCGCCAAATCCAATGTCCCAAAGCTCCCCCTCCAATATTTTCTTCCAGTTTTATAGTTTTCGGTCTTACATTTAAATATATAATTCATTTGGAATTAATTTTTGTATATGGTATAAGGTAAGGGTCCAACTTCATTCATTTGCATGTGGATATCCAGTTTTCTCAGCACAATTTGTTGAACAAGCTATCTTTTTCCCATTGTGTAGTCTTGGCACCCTTGCTGAAAATCATTTGCCATATATGCAGGGGTTTATTTCTGAGCTCTCTGTTCTATTCCATTGGTCTATGTATCTGTCTTTATGCCAGTACCACACTGTCTTAATTACTGTCACTTTGTAGTAGGTTTTGAAATCAGGAAGTGTGAGGCCTCCAAGTTTATCCTTCTTTTTCAAGATTGTTTTGGCTATTCAGGGTTTCTTGAGATTCCTTATTAATTTTAGGATGGTTCTAATTCTGAAAAAGTGCCATTGGGATTTTGATAGGGATTGCATTGAATCTATAGATTGCTCTGGGTAAACATTTTTTAAATGGAGATGAAAAGTGTCAATAAAGGCACAATGTGTTAATGTACTAATTACTCCTAGTTTGTAAATATTACCATAAATATGGTACAGTGGGAAGAATCCTAGACTTTGAAACAGAAGATTTGGATTTAAATAATTACTTTGCTCTGTGACCTCATGCAAATTACTCCATATCTCTGAGCCATAGTTTTTTCATCTTTAATGAGGATAATAACCCTTTGTGTCTCCTAGAATTACTGAATGGATTGAATGAGTTAATGGCAAAAGAGCACTTAGGAATATTAATGATTATAATTATAAAATTATGATCAATACTAGTAATGCTTTACATTTACATGACAAATTATATAGGAAGTCTATGCTTTATGTCAGAGTAGACTATCTTAGCTTGTAAAGTGATAGAAGACAAAGAGTAGTGCTTGTTTACTTTTTGGATGTGTCACGTAGAAACACAAACAACAAATTTCTGGGCAAGCTTTCTGGTGATGCTGCCAATGACAGTTAAGATGGTCATGGATGATATTCCCAAACAGCAAAAGACAGTTTTACTTGGGAAAGAGATAGATCTGTAGTTTGACTCTCTTAAGAGAGCCCCCTTAAGATAACCCCTTATTATAAGTGTGGACTTTTTAGAAAGTGGAATTTCTTTTTTTTTCTTGTTGTTTTGTTCATCCTACCACCTAGAGATCTAGCACCCACCGCTGTTAACATTCTGGGACAAATTTCCTTCCTGTTTTTCTATACATATTTTTACGTAGCTGAGCTCAAACTCTAGATGTAATTTTGCATATCCTACTTTTCATATTTAAAAACACACTGTAGTCATTTTCCTATGTCTTTAACGCTCCATAAAATCATATTGATGGTTGCATAATATGATACATTTAACCAATTGCCTACTGTTGGACTTTTAATATTATTCAATTTTTAACACTAATACTAGGATTTTGTTGCTTCCGCTAAGGAAGAACTGATCCAGACCTGACTTTGTTCCTTTCTTAGGAGAACGAG